TGGCTAGGACTAGATATAGGAGTAGATGTCACAGGACAAGATCCCCTAGGCCACTGCCACCACCATGCAAATAGAAGTAGGATATAAGGGTACGAATGCCTGGGTGGAATGGATTAGATATTCTGTTCACACCCTAAATAAAAGCTACTGTTACGCTTGCAAGGCAGGAAGGCTACAGGCCCAAGTGGTCCCATTCCCATTCGAATGGACCTCACACAGTAACAGGATGGAAGGTGTGCTTGCCTTGTACCAGGAGGAAACAGCCTGGGGATACGCTTCCTGTAAGACTCTCCCTGCTGTTCCCATCCAACAGAGGTAAAGAGCAAGGACCCCCCAAAACGATCCGGCCCCGTCCTCCGACATAAACTATGTCTCCTGCCTCTCAAGGGGCGGGGCGGGGACAGTGCTTGGAGTTCAGAGAAATGTATCCGGATGCGTAAACGGCCGAGTATCCTCAGAAGCCCATCGTGCTGCACTGTCGGTACCCGTGCTGACGTCTGGTGGTGTCATAGGGACCCTGACTTGGGCCTTGCCCAGCATTTGGAGTGGACCTTGTGCTCTGATACTATCCCTTTCACGTTGGCACATCGTAAACCTTTTTCAATGGACAGACAGACCAGGAAGAGGAGAGTCCAGGGGGCTCCTTTGATCCCCATATGCACACAGATCCCACTGGGGTTCCAGGAGGAGTCCCAAGGAGTCTAAGGCTAGAAATCAGATTGCTGCCAGGTTTGAGTCTGTCCTGTGTTGGTGGCCACTGTGAACAAGAATGCGGTGGATTAATTATATTTACTAGAACCAGCAAAGGCTTGTTAACTATGCTCGAGACGCAGCTAAAGGGATAGCTGAACAGCTAGATGCCAGCAGCAGGATGACCTGGGAGAACAGGTTGGCCTTGGTCTGATTCTGGCAGAAAAAGGAGGAAGATGTGTAATGTTGGGGTCAGTGCTACACATTCATCCCTGACAAGACAGCACACGGAACGTCACTGAGCCTAAGGCATCGGCAGCTTTAGTGACGGGTGAGCTGGAGCCTGCGATCGAGGGTCCTTTCTCTAACGCACTAGAGCGACGGTGTCCACACTCACCCCTTTGATTAGAAGTTACAGAGATGGGGTGTCACATCATCCCATGTGTGGGGGGGTCTTATTCAAAGACTAATTGAAACCACATTGACCAAATAGCAAATTAGTCTCCTTCTAGAGCAGTGGTTCTCAACCTTCTGGCCCTTTAAATACAGTTCCTCATGTTGTGACCCAACCATAAAATTATTTTCGTTGCTACTTCATAACTGTAATGTTGCTACTGTTATGAATCGTAATGTAAATATCTGATATGCAGGATGGCCTTAAGCGACCCCTGTGAAAGGGTTGTTCGACCGCCAAAGGGGTCGCGACCCACAGGTTGAGAACTGCTGCTGTAGAGCATGAAAGTCAATGAATGTCAGCCAAGTTTTAAGAAAAGAGTTTAAATAAAGAAAAGGGGAGAACTATGAGAAGAAACAAGTCATCTTTTCTTTTCTTTTCTTTTTTTTTTTTGATTGAACAAGTCATCTTTTCTGTCAAAAAGCAGTGTAGACAGCCGTCATTTTGGACTGCGTGACTTGGCAGCCACCAAGTTGGCCGCATGGCTTGCAGCTCCCCTGGGGCCGCCATCTTGAAACGGCAAAGGCCAACCCCTCCCGTTGAATTAGCCAATTGGGAAAGACCGTGCGCCTGAGCTCCAATCAAGAGTGAGGGGCAGGTCACGTGCTCAGGGATTATAAAGCTGAGCAGAGCACCTGCTGGGTGTGTGCATATCCTTCTATGTAGAAGTAAAGATACTGGCCTTGCAAAAAAAAAAAAAAAGAAAGACTATCTTACAAACTAACACGGACAGGCTTCTATCCTGTAAGAAGAAGAGGTAAAGATAGAGAAACTGAAGTTACTTTTTAGAAGCCTCTTCAAGTTGGAGGATACCAGAGGGAAGGGTGAGAGGATCCTGGGTGAAGGAATCCTTCGAAAATAAAGATTATCAATTACTCCTTTGGGGAAGAAAAACAGGAAACATTTCGAGGATATGAGTTTCTATTTTACAAATGTTTCAAGTGCTTAAAAAAAAAAGCAATTAGTGAAATAACCTAGCATTATGTTCTTGCAATGTGATGCAACATAAAGTACACCTCATCTATGAAGCATCCATACCAAAAAAATGTAGTCTGAAACTAATCATGAGAACAATCAGACAAATCCAGTATGTAGACATTTTAAAAAACACTCCCAGAAATGTCAAAATCATGAGGAAGAAAAAAAAAAAGAATGGTCTAGACCAGTTTAGATTAAAATGCAAAAATGTAACAACTAAAAGTAATGTATTATGTATCTTGATGTGATCCTTACTAACAGCTATAACATACATTTATTTTGGACAATTGGGAATTTTGACCTATAAACTGTTTATTAGATGATACTATGAAATTCTTGTTAACTTTTTAGGCTTATGTTTTAGGTATGGTAATGATATTGTGGTTACACAGATGAATGCCCTTTTCTTGGGAGGATGTGCTGAAGTGTCTAGAATGAAATTCATCATATCTGTGACTTCCTTTCAAATGGTCCAGAACACACACACACACACACACACCCCTACACACACCCCTAAATGTACATATACAGGGGTAGGCAAAAGTAGGTTAGCAGTTGTTCGTATGGAAAATATGTAATACAAGAATAAATAATAATACAAGAATAAACTCTGCATTTCATGCACTCAAAACTGTAAACGTCCTTTTGCCCACCTCTGTCTATGTTTATGTGTATGTGAATAAATACAGACTTCCCTAGATGAGGAGGTAGGGAAGTGACAAGATGTTAACAACTGGTTTATGAGAAAACTTAAGTTTAAACTCTACACTTTGTACACTTTCTATGATAAATATAATCTAAGAAATCACAATTCCTATAGACTAGACAAGGTGCATTGCTGATATCTTCTGTCAAGATACATTAAGAAAGTCAAGTTACTCAGAGGCTTGTAGGATGAATGCTGATTATATTCTTGTCCATTCATACAAGCCTAAGAAGACTGGAATGGACAGAAATGCTTCATTCAGTCCAGTCAAGATCAGAGGCAGAGTTTACCATCAGCCTGCTTCCTTCAAAGCTGAAGCAGGTCGGCAGGAAGAGAAAAGTCTGTCCCTCCCAGGCCTTGAACCTTACTTACTTCTACACAGAAACCGAAAGTCTACTTCTTTCTAAAAGTTACCTGAATGCAAGTATCAGCTGTATCAGGGCTGCAACTGCACCTTTAACATCCACATAAATCAAATATAATTCTTAACCAATGTTACACAGCAAAAACACTTAGTCAACCTTAGTGCTGAGACAAGCCCTAAAAGTACAAACAGTTTACACTTAATTCTCAGGGCATGATTGCTAAATGTGTAAATTATATGAATTCCCAAATACTCCATATTTTAATTTATTGTCTTGCTTTTGATCTGGTTGTTCCATTTATCCCTAATTATCATGATGAATGCAAGATCATCCAAATCTCCCCAAGACTCTGCCTAGACAGTCACCATCCACAAAGTCCAAAGTCTAAATGAAGGTATCTTTTTGTACATATTAACATACACACACACACACACACACACACACACACACACCCCTCTGACATTTTCATTTGTGGAAAAGGTGACATAAAAAGATGTAACAAAATAAAAACAAGGTATTGAAAGCAAAAATTCTAAAATAGGGTTAATAATGGAAAATTTTCAAATACAATCATTTTCAAATGCAATGACCAAAGTACAGGCAACAAAACATACATAAAAAATGCATGTAATCCTGTGCATTCAAATATTTATAGGCTGAGAGAAAAGTGAAAAGAAAAAAATTTACTTTTAAATAACACTGAAAATACAATGTATTCAGGTTTTTAAAATAAGTGTACATAAGTGTAGCACTGAGCCTGCCTATCCATAAACAAGATAAAAAAGTTGTAACATGTAGCTTATGATGTTACTTACTTTTCTATTGCTTACAGCACTGGGTTTGGAAATGTGTAAATCAAGAAAGAAGCTAACAATTAAAAGGAGAGAAAAACTGTATTCAGCTCATAGCTAATCTAAAGTTTAAAAGTCCTAAAGACGGAAACAGAAACTACTGATGAGAAGGACTGCTTTAATAACGACGCAAAACCAGTCCCCAAAGAACCATAGCCACGGTAAGGAAGACACCAACACACTAGGAGAATGTTTACAATACAGACACTAAATTTGCAGTGTATGCAGCACTGGGATAAGATGAGGATGACGGGCGGGGGCATGCTTGGAGAGGTCAATGGGGGGGAAAGGAGACATGTAATACTTTCAACAATAAAGAATTAAAAAAAAAAAAAAGATGAGGATGACGTGTGCAGAAGGATAGTGGAGCTCTGTCTCCCTGAAGGGAAAGAGACTCCAGGTTGGCAAATACCTTCGGCATCTTTCTTGCATTTGTTAGTGTGCTTCGTCCCCCTCTAAAGAGATCAACAGTATACAAAACAAAGCCTCAGATTTATAGATATACTGAGTTCTACCATGAACTTGAGTCTTCCATTCTTCTCTAGCTGGAAATAGTATCACTTAATGGCCAGGACACATTATCAACATGTCCAGTGGGGGACTTGCAGGAAGCAGCCAATCCTATTACAGTCAAGATAACATATGGAGTGCTAAAAACTCAAAGCGGCCTGCTGAGCACTAATGATCTAGTTGATTAGTAGAGTCAGAGAAGACCACAAGCTAAGTACCAAAGACGAACAGAGTAAGACAATCAAACAGGAGTTCACTGGGACAATTTTGCAACATTTCATGGAGCAGCTAGAACCTGAATTTGGTCTTTAGGGAAGAGAAAAGGATTGTAGCCTGGTGAGACTGCATGACCGACCAATGGCAGAGTCCTCAGAAGTACAGCACCAAAGGCGGTCTCCCACTGCAATGACCGTCAGGCTTCTAAAAGGGCTGGGCCTTTCACTTACTGCCATGTACGGCCTACACCCAGCATCTCTGGTCTTGGCAATAGAGTCCACAAGCTGTCCGCTGATGCCAAAGTCACAGAGTTTAATATTTCCACTTCTGTCCAGAAGGATATTGGAAGGTTTGATATCTGAAAGAGACAGGTACCATTCAGTGTAAAAGTAATCAATAATCAATCAAATGAGCTACATTCTAAAGTACTTTAAGTAAAAATACTGAAAAACCTTAGACAACATAAGTGATCAAGTCCTTAATATTCAGATGTATGAGAAGATGAGAAATATGAAATTTCTCTGAAGACCGATGCTTAAAAACTCAGTATCAAAAAATACTACAGCCCTACCCGGTTTGGCTCAGCCTGCGAAATGAAAGTTCCCAGGTTTGATTCCAGTCAAGAGCACATGCCTGGGTTGTGGGCTCGATCCCCAGTGGGAGACTTGCAGGAGGCAGCCAATCCATGATTCTCTCTCATCATGGATATTTCTAGCTCTCTCTCCCTCTTCCTTCCTCTCTGAAATCAATAAAATTATATTTTTTTTAAAAACTACAAGTGTATTAAAAAAAATATTATACAATACATTTAGGCATTCTATTATGTTGTTTTGTTCTCATCAAGGGACATATTCATTTACTTGCTTCAAATTCATTACTTAACAGTCAAACTATAAAGAATGAATTTAACCTATAAGAGTATACTAAGCTACTGTACAATATGTGTCAAAGACTATGTGACACTAGGGACCGCTTTAGCTGTTACTACCCTGAGAATGAAGCCAACAGATTAAGGAGGGCACAGCCTAAAGAAGAAGCTTGAACTCTAACCAAATTGTGCCAGGACTCTATTACCACAGAGAATGCATTTCCTTGGAGTTTAAGCCAGTTATCAGAATTTTCTGTAACCTGTAATCAAAGCACTCTACCTGTAGCAAAAAAAAAAAAAGCTAACTAATTTGAAGTGATAAAAAGACTGCTATAAACTCATCATTTTATTTACTAATAGGAAAACAAAAGTTATTTCTGAAGACTTTCCCTTTTATCTTACTCCTCCTCAGGCACTGCCTTAGTGCTTTTCTGTGATACCTTGAGTATTCCTAAGGTATTTGAATCGCTCTACAGTAAAGGCAATCCATAATAATAAAAGTATAATATGCTAATTAGACTGGACGACTTTCCGGACAAAGCCGGGGCTGTGAGGGAAGCCCGGGTCCCAGGTGCTGGTGGCCAGAGGGAAGCCCGGGTCCCGGGTGCCAGAGGGAAGCCAGTGCCGGCAGCCAGAGGAAGGAAGGCCTACTCTTGCACGAATTTCGTGCATCGGACCTCTAGTCTATATATATAAAAGCCTAAGCAACCATTGCAACTGTTGCAACCGTTATGACTGGCCGGTGGCTATGACGTGCACTGACCACCAGGTGGCAGACACGAAACGCAGGATCTGCCCCCTGGTGGTCAGTGCGCTCCCACAGCCAACCTCCCGCAGCCGGCCAACCTCCCGTAGTCCCTCCCCCGGGCCAGCCGGCCCCAATCGGCCCCCATCGCCGGCCAGGCCGAGGGACCCCACCCATGCATGAATTCATGCACCAGGCCTCCAGTACTCTCATAATTGCAGAACACAGCAAAAAGGGAGAGAAAAACCTCAAAACAAGAACAAGATGAACTATGAGAGGAACAAAATAATTTTGTTTAGGGACTTAATCCTACATGATTTTAGGCCAAAAAGGAAATTAGGAGCCTACCTAATATTATTTTAACATAAAATAATGAAGAAAAATTCATTATTTTATGTTAAAAATATCAGGTAGGCAAAAATAAATGAATTATTTTGATGTTCAAGGTTAACTAATTTCTGGACCAGGGTCAACCCCAAACTAAAATTACTTAAATAAATGTCCCAATTACTAATTTCTCTAACCACTAGAAACTATGATACTTAGAATTCAAGGTTTTGCACTTCTCTGAATATGACCTTTGACTTTCCTACTTATTTACTATCAGAATGAATCACATACTGTCACATATTGTCTTAGGTCTGTCTTGATACCAGAGCAACTATTTAGTCTATGTGCTGAATTAAACTCGGGATTCCCACTGTCATGCAATAGGTCTACATCAAATGTTTAAAATTTTTGAATGTGTGTTTAATAAGGACAAGATCACTATTCTCACAAATACAAATGCTTTATAGCAATTCCAGTTAAAGGAATCTCTGATTGCAGCACTTCACAGGAACAGTAGTGTGCCTGTAACACACAAGGCTGTTACCCTCTGATTCTCCTTTGACTGCCCACAGGACCACCTTCACGCCTTAGTAGTATATAAGAGAAACACTAATTATCTATCGGCAAATGAATAATAACTTTTCAACTAAGAATAATAAGAATTTACAGCAAAATCTCCTTCAATTACTAAGCCAAACATATTAATAAGGTAGACTAAAATTTATAGACCCCCAAAGGGAAAAAACCCTAATAGTGAAGTTTTAGGATACATATAGTAGGTTTTGCTTGAAAGTGGCACTGTAATTTTCAATATTTTTTCCCTATTAAGGAATAGTTGTTCTATAAAAAATAATTCTGTACCCACCTCTGTGAATGATTTTCAAGTTTTCCTTTAAGTGGTTTAGTGCTTTCACAGTCTGTGGAGAAAAAGCAGAGATGGGATAAACAATTTCCTTTTAATCAAACAGCACAATAGTTTATCTTAAGTAACAGCCCACATAGCCCATTGCATTCTTGTAAGCTTAATGTTTCAACATCCTGTGCAATTTTTGTTAACTGAAGATGCTGAATGTTGATTTTAAATTTAAAAACTTAGTTGCCCTGACAGCTAAAAAGAAAACCCTGTAACTTACAATTTTTTAGTAAGTCATTAACAAGTTGTATAATATTTCTTATATCTTCAAACTCTTCAAGAATAGAAATATGTAGTATAAGAAAGTCCAACAGGCTGGATCCATTATCAACCCTGACTTAGTTAAGTTCTTCCAAAGTCTCAGTTTCTCACAATCATTCACCCTCATTGGGTGCTGAGCCTTCAAAGTAACTTTTGCAGAGCCATGTGTCTCTAATGTCTCAAACAGTCAGGCTTGCGAGTTCATAGAGTTATTAATTAGCAAGAAGAGATTAATCGACCTGGCTGGGTGGCTCAATTGGTTGGAGCGCCATCCCAAAGGTTGCGAGTTTGATCCCCATTCAGGGCACACGCCTAGGTTGGGAGTTCAATCTCCAGTCTGGTAGCAAACAGGAAGGCAACTGACCAATGTTTCTCTCACATCAAAGTTTCTCTCTCTCTCATTCTAAAAATCAATGAGCATATCCTCAGGTAAGAATTTAAAAAGAGAGATTTAAATCAAAGTAATTTTAAATGTTGTGCTTAATATACAAGGTGATCACCAAGACTAGAAACATAGGCAAATATATAATACATTATTTATTAGTATACATACACTACACATATTTCATTATACAATAAAATAATTTTATCTATGTTTTCTAACTTCATAATCACCTTGTACAGTGGTTAAAAACAAGATTCTGGGATTAGGCTGCCTGGGCTTAAAGCATTTACCAGTTAAAATTATATAAACTTCAAAGCAAATTAATTGCTCAATCTCTCCATATTTCAGATCTGTCATCTGTAAACAAGTTACACTATTTACCATAGAGAGTTGCTATGAAGATAAAATGTCATAAGATCTTGGCCTGATATAAATAAACATTCAATAATCACTAGCTGTTTTCATTATGCTACTATTGTTTCTATGAATACTAACAAATGCCAAGATAATATTGGCTTTGGTATACTGGAGACAGATGACTAAATTGATCAATATAAAATTTCCTAGACCAGCCAGAATAATTAACAAGTTTCTAGTAAAACTCTGCTTCTTTTTATAAAATATATGTAAGGGTATGTATCTTAACATTTAGCTAATTAAACGTTTAATTTTAAGCATTAAATAAGCTAAATAACTTAAAACATTAACAAGAGACCTGTAATTTTTAAACTAATGTTTAAACTAACATTAAACATTAATGATTAAGTAGGATAAAATGCAATGGACAGACAACCTATGCTGGATATTGAGGATGCAAGAAAGGGAGAGTAGGGAAATTAAATGCAACTAGGTATCTTACAGCTTCCTATAAAATTTAGTTGACATATCCACTAAGCCAGATTGTGATCAGAGTCTCAGGGGTTTCTAAGAATCTTATTAATTTTATGCTATCACAGAAAATTATTTTCAGAAAAAATAATTATGAACAACCTTTGTCAACTAAAAGATTCAAAGCAAGAAAGGAAATAATCATGACCCCACTTTCAAGACTATAAAAACGTAAGTAAAAAAGTACCTCTTTTCGTTTTGGTATTCAGGTAAAAGTGAATTGACCAAATAAGCAATAATGCTGGTTACTGAAATTGCTGGTAAAAAATTTAAATAGTTTAGTCTGCATAGCCCAACTCTTAAACCACGAAGAGTTTTAATTAAGAGACTTCAAGGATACTGCTGTGATTCTGATTAATTTAGGCATAAGCATGATAATACATATTTAAAACATATTAAAAATAGTTAAACCAACAGTGGAAAATGGAACATATTTAAAAATAGTTAAACCAACAGTGGAAAGGGAACAGAAAATTGCTTGTTCTAATCTTACTGACAGCACAATCTATTGTGGTTGCTTGTGATTCTGTACTACAGACCACATTTTGAAAATAGTTCTTTATGATTGTGTCAATTACCCCACAGAAGTGGTTCAGTCTCTGTCCCTTTACCAGTGATCCTCCAGGAAAGTCAGTAAAATTCTGTGAAGGATATCTGGGCATGTGCATTCAAATGCCAGCAGCATCTTTACATGAGCACATAGAGAATGAACAATTTGAAAACCAGGTACTTACTGCTAAAGTGATTTTGCCTAAAATTTCTTCTGGAATAACATCATCTAATACACTATATACATATTTGTAAAACTTATCAAACGAGGTAGACATGAGTTCCATACAGATCCAACAGTCACCCTATAAAATAACAAATATGTTACTCTTATACATCATATTATGTACCATTTTTCCTTCACTTAAAACAGAAATACAATTAACAAAAAAGAAAACTTCATTTAAAAAAAAATCTTGTAGAAATTTTTGGTTCCTTATTAAAGCTCTGGACAGAACATTCTCCTCATGCTTAAACACAAACTGATTTGCCCAATTTTCCCCACTCTTAATTGTAAAGGCAGGAACAGTCTTACATAGAAAACTTTTGAGCTTTATACGAATTTCAAATATTGCCATAATTAAATATACAAATAGAAAACGTGGAAAACTGTTCATTCTCACTAACAAAGAAAATAGATTACAGTTATGTTGATATACTATAAAAACTTCTTAATAAGTAAATAAAATAAAAGAGAGGCAAAAGAAAATACATAAAGCAAACCCAATGCCTCAAAAGTTATTGCTCAAATGCACCTTCTCTGGAGCAGTTTACAAGTCATCCCACTCTCAGCAACCCCTTGCCTTGCCTTGCTGTTCTTTGAATGACCCGTATCATCTTTTAATATAAAATATAACTTATTTATTTATTTTATTATGTTTTTCATCTACATTCCCTACACTCCACCAGGACAGGGGCTCAATGAACATTCCTTAAATGAATGAATGCTGGCTATAATTAAACTGAATCGTTCAAAAACTGATGGCAGCATTATAGAGGGTTTTAAAACAGTCTGAAGGCAACTGGACAATAAAGCAAGAGAAATAAAAGTATTTATACCCTTTGACAGAATTATGACTGGGATCTAACTTAAAGAAACAGTCCAGAAATTACAAAAACAAAAACAAACTAGAAACCACTGAACTATCCCACAAGAGGAAATGGTACATCATTAAAGGAATTATCTAAAATTAAATTATTTTAAAATGATACAGTTCATGAGAGGTATGCATGAGCAAAATGCAGACCCTAAGTAATACCATGATTATAACACTACTAGAGGCCCGGTGCACGGATCCATGCACCAGTGGGGACCCTAGGCCTGGCCTGCGGGGATCGGACTGAAACCAGCTCTCTGACATCCCCCGAGGGGTCCCGAATTGCGAGAGGGCGCAGGCCAGGCTGTGCGCCGGGCCTCTAAGATGCATATAAGATCTTTGGTTAATCTCTTCCCACCCTCCCCTCTGAGATTCATCAGTCTGTTCCATGTTTCCATGCCTGTGGTTTCCGCTCCTGCACTGAGCACCTGCCCCCTACCGGTTGGACGGTCACTTAGGCTTTTATATATATAGATAAAAGTATTTGCACACATGAACAAGTACTACAAAGTACCTTGTAAGAGTGAAAACAACTATCAGGATGATACAAAAAAATTACCTAAAAATTATTTTGGCCCTGACCGGTTTGGCTCAGTGGATAGAGTGTCGGCCTGCGGACTAAAGAGTCCCGGGTTCGATTCCAGTCAAGGGCATGTACCTTGATTGCGGGCACATCCCCAGTAGGGGGTGTGCAGGAGGCAGCTGATCGATGTTTCTCTCTCATCGATGTTTCTAACTCTCTATCCCTCTCCCTTCCTCTCTGTAAAAAAATCAATAAAATATATTTAAAAAAATAAAAAATAAAAATAAATAAAAATTATTTTGTATGTTGTCACTAATCTATGGATCCAGCTGTACCCTCCGAAACTTTCCACCACTAATCTTCCCCTCATGCCTGACCTACATTGATTAGAGATGAATGCCCCTAAAAGGACAATGGCTTGCCGAGAACAACACTGCTATTAGTGATATAGCCATAAATAGAATCCAGTGTACTTAACTCCCTTCTCCTATCAACACCTACAATGCAAGGACACCAACCTTGTAAGAAGAGAGGGCCTATGCTTCGAGGACACAGGTGAGCACAGCGCTCTCACAACAGGACCACCTGCTGGAGCATGCATGTAGCCCAGGGCTTCGGAGAATACTTATGGTAAAGCATACTTGACATGAACTTTTACTTCTATTTCTTTCTTTTAAGTCTCTTCTCTCTCTCTCTTTTCATTTTGAGTGCTTTTACAGAATAACTCTCACAAAAGATTGAGTAACACCCTTCACTCAAAACACACACTTGAATTAATTTAGTCTAAAGACATCATCTCAATAGATTTACTAGAATTTTTATTACACTTAACTCATCTACTTAGAAAAACAGTAAGGAAGGAATTGAACATCAGTAGTGTAGTGAAGCAGAAAGACCACTGATATTAGAGTCTGCAGGCCTGACTTAGTACCCAGACTCTCCCACTTTCTGCTTATATAAGATTGGGCTCCTCAATTCCTCATCTAGGAAATGGATCACTCCACCATCCTCAATGAACTGTGATAAAGATCAAAGGAGCAAACATATGCAAAACACAAAATAAAGTGCCTGGTATGTGGTAAAAACTATTGCTAAGAAAATAAAGGGAGGAGAGAGACGGGTGGAAAAATAGAAAGGCAACCAAAAGAGAAAGAAAAATATGGGAACCAGGGAAGTGAAGGTAAGAAGTAAATGAAGGACTAAGGATGAGAAGAGCAGGCACAAAGGAGCAATTAGCATTAGAGAGGAAGATGTCTATAGTTTCTAAGGCACATAACCTAATGTAAATTTCTTATTTCTTCCGGTAGTTCCTTTTGGCCATAACTGAGAATAGGCAACATTTAAAAAAAATAAAAAGGAATGGCCTGAGCTGCCTCAAAAACCAGGGACGGCAGCATACCTCTCATGTTCACATGAAAGACAAAATGGCCAGGTGACCAAAATACAAAAGCAGAAATTACTGAATGTGGATTTACTGAAAGAAAGGGGGGGCGGGGGGGACAATGAAAAATTGAACTACTAAGATCGAGATAAGGGTTCCTAAAGACAAAATCTAGATAAAACTAATAACATCCTTATGTATCACCAGTAACCACTTAGAAAAATGTTTACAGAGACACCACTAACAATAAAAAGGAAACCTATAAAACACCTAAGAATTTATCTTACAAAAGAAGCAAAACATTTACAAAAACAAATATGAAATGTTACTAAAGGACATAACAATCTGACTAAATACAGAGGAAAAGCATGCTTACAAATGTGAAGACTCAACATCATAAAGATGCCAAATTCCCCCCCAAAGTAACCTAAGAATTTAGTTAGATTCTAATCAAAATTATCATGCACCAGGACAAGCTTATCCTAAAACTTATGTAGAAAAGTAGAGCCAAGCATAGCTCACACAATTTTTTAAAAGGGGGACTGATCTACTAGACAAAGACCTTTATATAAAGCGTTCACAATAAAAGATGGTGGTATTAATATGGGGGCAGGGTAAATATGCCAGTGGATCAGATTGAAAACCCGTGCACCTAGGCAATTGGATTTATGACAGATGTAGCAAAGCAAGCAGTGACAAAAGGATGGACTAGTCCATGAATGCTGCTGAGACCAGTAGCCTTCCATACACAAAAATGTTAAATTAGGCCATTACCTCAAGTTATGCACAAACAAAAATACAAAAACTCCCAAATGTAATTTTTGAAAAACAAACGTTTGAAACATTTTTGTTTTGAAAGTCTAAGACTTCAGGGTGGGGAAAAAATTTCCTCCCATGCACGTATATATGTGAAAAGAATAAATCACAAAGAGTAAGACCTGTCAACTTTAACTCCACTATCATGAATATTTTTGTCTGATAAAGGATACCATACCAAAAGTTCAAAAATAAGACAAGAACATCTTTTTGGATGTAAAGAAACAAAGGATACCCTGGATAATAAAGCATATGCTGAATTAATTATGAATAGACAAAACTTAATAAAATAATGGCAAAGGTATATGAAGAGGCAAGTCACAGAAAAGAAAACCTGAACACACAAGTAAAAAATTCTGTACTTCACCAGTGATTAGGTAAATGTAATTTTAAAAGTAAGATACCACTTCAAACCCACCTGACTGCCCAAACTGAAACATTTAATAGTACCAGATACTAGCAATGTGACCTGTGACAACAAATGCATATGTCCTACCCAACATGCCACCCTTTGTTCTGTACAATGTGCCTAGCTAACACTACATATCCCAGTCTTCCATGTAAAGTAGGGCGGCCAATGAAATGTCAGCGCAAAGGGTTGCTGATTCCAGGGTAGCCCTTTTAGTTCTTCCTTCTTCTCTGCCCACCTGTGGCCATGACAGCTGTACTCTAGGAGCCAACTTGGACCATGAGGCAATCTTAATCATGAAAACCACACACTAGGTACACCACTATCAGTCTCCAGTGTTGACAACTGAGTTCAATTCCTGACAGAGAAATTACCATTCTGACTAGTAGGAATATAAGTTAGTATAATATAGAAATACAACAACATCCACTAAAGTTGAAGATATTCATTATCATTTAACCTAGCAACTGGATTTCTAGGTATGGATTCTACAGAAACTGTAACCTAAGTTGTCAAGGAAACATGCAAAAGGAAGTTCATTTTTACTTTCATAATTGCAAAAAATTAGAAACTACCAACATTAAAATTATTAAACATTTAAAAAGTGGTATATTTACTCATCAGAATATTACAGAGCTGTTCAAATAAATTAACCAAATCTATACAGGATGGGGCAAAAGTAGGTTTACAGTTGTTCACAGGGTAAATAATACAAGAATAAACTCAGTTTCGTGTACTCACAACTGCAAACCTACTTTGCCCCACCCTGTATTAGAGATCTCTATTTACAGGGACAAATTTTGAATACTATGCTATGGAAGATACAAACAGGATAATTCCACCTAGGTAAACTTGGAAAATACATAAAGCAATACTATGTATTACTTAGGGGGGAAATACATATATGGAAAGCCTAAATAAAAACAAATTGAAGGAAGCATTAATTTCAAGGTAGTGTTTAGATTGGGAGATTAAAAGGGGAAATGGGATGGGGACTTCTATTGTATCTATAATTTAAACACAAATAAACAGCAAATATGCCAAAATGTTAATCTGTGATGTGGCTACACTGCTATTCC